CCCAACCCGTATGGCACGGATTGCGGGCGACAACCTAGCCGCCGTAAGGTATGGTGCTGGCACAGCCAGATACCGAAGGCTACACTTGGCCCAACAGATGGAGGACGCCCTGGGGCAAGTCGAAGGGGCGGGCTGGGTACTCACCTGGCAGGCCGTCAGACGCAGGCTGAACAAGGCGGCTGCCAGTCTGGCCACCATTGGAGTGTATTGGGCAGACTCCCTCCGCAGGGAAGGCGTTACGGCTGCCACCTCCCACATTCAGTGGAACGGTACCCCCCCCCCATCCCCGCACACCTCCCCGGCATCATCCCTCGTGGGACCAACCTTTGCGACCCCACTGCGGCCGCTGAATTTGTTTATTCGCTCGCGCAGCCTTCCTCTGCCCCCCCATCGGGCCCTCCTCACTCGGGTCGCCGTTCGCCTGGTCGCCGCAGCATCTGAGTGTCCGTCGCGCTGGCTCAAGCTTCCCCCCCGTGTACACTCTGCGTATCCGCAGCTATCGGCTGCACTTCCCCCCTACGCCGCTGCGGGATGCCGAAGCGAAAGAACAACAGCGGGCCCCTGGCCAGATGGCAGTCTCCGATCGAGCACTGCAAACATGGCCCCAGTGCAGAAGGCCCGGTCAAGCCCTTCCGTGCCCGCGAGTGCCCTTGGCTGAGATGGGCGCACTTCAACCATGAGTGGTGCTGGTGGTGCGAGGTCTGCCAGAGACACTGCGACGGCAAGCTACATCTCCTGGGTGAGGACCACCACAGAAGCAGAAGGATCACGGGTGGCCGGACCCCAGGACCTACACCCAGCAAGGCAACCTCTGGACCAGGACGCAAGGAGGGACCAAAGACTGCGTCACAGGGTTCCAAATCGAGAGGTATGCGTGGCCAGGATGGGAGCTCCCCTGCCCTGTCATGGACGGGAGCCGCGCGCACCTACCTGGCTGGACGTTCCCAGACGATTGGGACTACGTGCCGGTCGACTTCCCCTTTCGCGACGGCGGGTTTGACTTTTCCATTCCCACCGACACTATCCCGTCTTCCGACCTCCGACCGCCAGACCTATACCGACGCGGCGGGTGGGGGGCCACCCCGTGGCGCAGCGCAGGGGCCTGGGGAGGCACCGGCCCGCCTCCCCCTCGCGCTGGTACAGGCGAGCTGCTCGCTCCCCCGACCCAGAGTGAGAGACTGGCTGGGTCCAGCAGGGCATCGTCGCAAGACCCCACCGATCGGGCCGGGTCGCTACGAGGAGACGAGGCCAATTGGGCAAACGACATTCACCCCCGCGCCTTTCGGACGAACCCAGACCCCCCCGCTGACACCGCAGCCAAGGCAATAATGCAGCTGTTCGCCGTGCCCGCAGACCGCCCTGGGGCCCAGTTCCGTCTGCACACCCCCCTGGGACTGATCGCAGGAGGAGTGAACCTGCCAAAACATTGGGAACAGGATCTGCGACAGAGGGGGTGCATCCTGTCCAGATTGGCATGGGCGGAGTGCATGGCGGCCACGGAGACGGTATGGGACGGCTCGGCAAAGGCCAGAACAGATCTGGCACGCAAGAAGAGCTGTGCCCTGGAAGTGGCGGCCACCCCCGCCCACGAGAGGTCGCGCTGTTCCATTCTCGACAAATTCAAACTACGCAACGCCTTCCCCCCCCAGGACGGGAAGACGCTCCTGCACCTACAATGGCCAAGTGAGTTCAGACTGATGCTCAAAGGTTTGGACGGGGGACAGGACGCGCAGTCACGGACACTGCTCCTCAGTCTCACCGGTCCGACGGAGGATCAGGTCGCCACCCTCCCGCAATGAATGCGAGGTCATGGAGTTAAGGGATGGCTCGAGGTACCCCTCCAATCAAGCTCTGGCATGGTGCGACTCCAAACAAGCCGAGGAGCTACAGGCTTTCGGCAAAGCTGCACATGCAGACAATGCAGGAGAAGTCCTGCACCGCCTGGACAAAGCTCCGTCGAAGCTGCAGTGCTGGCGGATCTATCAAGCCATCAGCGAGATCTACAAGCTGCAGCAAGCAACTGACGACCTGGTAGGCGTTCCGCTGGACGTGATAACCTTCTTCCTCAACCGGCGAGCAATCGACAGGAAAGACAGGCTCAGGGCCAACGAAGTGGAGAACACGAAGGCATGCAGCAAATCCCTCTTGGCCAGGGCGAGGGCCACACTTGGGAACAAGGCCCACAGCCTTCCTGGCGCAACGTCGGTGGACGGCACAAGTTCGCAGCAGCAGAACAAGGTGGAAGCCGTCGCACCATTTACGGACGACGAGGTTGACGGTTCTATTGGACAAGTAATCCAGCGGGCTCGCAACCTTCCCCCCATCACCAACCTCAATGACGCCGCTCGACGTCACCAGCTTAACGACTACGCTGCAAAGGCGCTGACCGCCACCACCCAACACCGCGTGCCGGTGGTACATGGGCCCCCAGGGACTGGCAAGACACTATTCTCAGTGGCCACCATGGACGCATGGGCAAAGCTCGCTACCCGAGAGGCAGTCCGTGGCCCTCACGGCGGGATCGAACACGGCAGCCGACCAGCCTGCCATCGGGCTCGGAGCGGCGTGCGAGGATGGCAGACTGGTTACCGAGACCTGCTTCCCCAACAGGTGTGTCAGACTTGCAAAGGACGCCCGAGTGGCACCTAAAATCGCGTCCCTGACTCCCGTTGGGCATTTCCAGATGACCCACAACCGCCCCCCCCACCAGAGCGGACCATCCAAGGAGCTCCTGTCCTTCCGCTCGCAGTTGCTAAGGGGCGCCAAGGTGGTCATTGCAACCCGCGAGGCGGCTGAGTCCCTCAAGCTGGCCTCCCGGGCAGCTCTGCTCATCATTGACGAGGCTGGACAGACCCATGAACTCATGGCGGCCATGTCCCTCGTCAATGTCATACGTTCGGGAGGACACCTACGACTGGTCGGCGACCCCAAGCAGCTTCCCCCCACTGTCCTCTCCAGGAAAGCGGCTGATCATGGCCTGTGTCTCTCTATATTCGACCGGCTTCACAATGCGCTGGGTGGGGGCACCCCTGCAGTGGTGCAACGGACCCTTCGCTACCGCATGCGCCCCCTCCTCCTGTCCTGGCCGAACATGGCCTTCTACAACAAGGCAATTCGGTCAGGGCTCAACGATCCACTGACGCAGAGACCGCGAGTGGAAGGACTTCCGTGGCAGCAGATGCTACCATGGGACAGAGCCAGGCTCGCTGCGCTGGCCAAAGCCGCCAAGACCACCATAGGGGACATGGAGACGCTGTTGCGGGACCTTCAGCCTCCACCGCAGCACCCGGAGGAGAGACGCCGGTTCCTCCTGGTCGACTACCCCTCCGTTGAGGTCACATCCAACCTTCACTCTGGCTACGCGAATATCCCAGAGGCCGCGCAGACGGTCGATGTGGTGAGGGCACTCTTGCCTGCCATGGAGAATGGGACCACGCTCCTTGTTGTGGTAGGCTATCAGCTGCAGTGTGCTGTGCTCGAGAATGGGCGGCCCCAGTCAGGGCGCAGCATCAACGGCTCCCTCGGGCAGGCTAAGAAGAAGGAGAAGGGCGCTGGCAAAGGCGAGCTAATCGGAGCAAACGACCCCCCTCATCGCCCCCACACACGGGACGGTGACCACCGGGGCTACGAATACGTGTTCGAGCAGTGGAGTTCCCCCTTCAATGGCATCGATCTGCACTTCCAAGGGATGCGGCAGGTAGCGGGGAAACACCTGACCAACGGCAGTCTCAATATCTCCACCATCGACTCCAGCCAAGGCGGAGAGGCAGGCATCGTGATCTACCTGACCACCCGGTCCAACTTCTGGCACGACTGGGGATTCATGGATAATCGCAATAGAGTGAATGTTGCGATCACGCGTGCCACCTCTCATGTTGTCGTAATCGGGGATGGAAGAATGTTCTGCGCTGCCGCGGGATCACATCTCAGGGAGCTCTCGGAGTACGGGAGGATGGCCAAGCTCTGGGTCCGCTTCCAGGGAAACGACATGGGCAACCGCGCCGCCCTGCACATCGACCAGGAGTTCGACCCTATCAAGGACCTGGAGTCGTGGATCCCCGCCGCTCCCACACATACAGGGGACGACAGCGTGAAAGGCCTGGGTGACGCCATCAGGAAGGCCAAGGCCAGGCTGGAGAGCCCCTTCACAGATCGCATCGCGGCTCCGCTCGACGCTCAGTTCTTGGGAGAAGCTTGGTGCCGCCCTCTCAGACAGCATTCAGAAGCTGGTTGACGATCCTATCATGGCTATCCTGCTGTACACCGTCTCCGGACTGCACCCCCGCCGCTGGCAAATGGGGGCCACACCCAGGCAACCGGGCAGCTTAGACAGGAAGGCTTGGAGCCACCTGGGCTACTGCCTAGACGTTGAAGTGGGGATCGACGCCAGCAACCTCGTCTACAACCTCACGTGGGCAGCCATTGTCTGGTTCCTCGGGCTCGGTGCGCCATGGAACGACAAGCAGCTGAGCGTCTCGTGCGACTCGCTTCCACCACTACCCCACATGGTGGGCACCAACCGGACCCCCAAGAAGTCCAGCCGCTGCACCCCCCGGGATACGCTCCCGCAGTTTTCAGCAGCATGGAGCAGTACCACCTGCCGGTGTCGTCGGCACAGAGTGCACCCAGGGATGGAGAATCTGCACGCCCCACTCAAGCCCAAGGTGATCGACACAGTGCTCACAGGTTCACTAGTTGGAGTTGACAGGCAACCACTTACCCCCCATGCGCTCAGAGTGCTGTTGGTAGTTATGATGCTTCATTTGCGCGAGCCACGCGCCACACCATGGCCCTTCCCGAACCCAGAGGCCGCTGGCGACATCTTCGAGGCCATGATGGGTCTTTGCCTCCCGTGGCAGGAGGCGCACAAAGGTTTCCGCACGCAGTGTGCAGAGACGTGGGTGCCAGCTGGCGGACCTCGAAACTCTCCGCGCCAAGCTCGCCGAGGTCATACGTCATACAAGCACCTTGGCTACCTACGCCCACCACCACGATATTGCTGGCGGACACGGCTGTCCGAAAACGTGGGCTGGGATGGAGGCGCGCAATTTCACCTCGGAGGCCCCCCTGCGCGTACTGGAGGCCATTGCGCAGCCGGCTGACGTCAAACAGTTGCGCGCCGGGGTGTGCTCCATCTGCATGCTTCACACTGCCCTGGCGGGTTCAGAGGTAGGGCTCGGATGCCCGCGGACAATGGGCGACCTCCAGTACATAGGTGGCGGAAAGGCCATCTCCAACCACCGTCTCGACGAAGACATCCCCGCCTCCCCTGCCCCAGGTACACCATTGGTTCCCCCCGTCGTGCGAGATGGGCGCTTCAGCAGGCTGCAGAGGGACACCACCTACAACTGCGACGGGTGCTTCAGCGTGGGGCTTCACGGTGCAGCAGGTACCTGGGAAGACGATTTCACCCGGGAGCTACTCGCTCAGAACCGCCCGCAGGCGTACATGGGCGGAAGGAACTGCAGATGGCTCTGCGAGCGCTGCTGGGTCGTCTCATTGGAGAAGAAAGGTATCCCCCTCCCCGAGCCCGACCCCTCTGAGCGCGCCGGCAAGAAGTCCATGCAGTGGCTACTACAAGAGCATAAGCGCAGGCTATTCGACAACCGGGCGCAGAAGAGGGCGAGGACCCTTCCCTCTCTGTCCAGGCTTCCACTGGGGTACCAGGAGCCAGCGGACACAGCAGCCCTGACCTCCCTCAAGGGGCTCGCACTTCGCACGCCGCGCCACTTCCGCCCTGCCAGCGCAGGCACCACGCTGCCGCCGCACAGGCTCTCAGACGGCAGGTTCGGCGCAGAGGCGCACCGCGCCAATTGCTACTCTGCCAAGTGCGATTTCTGCCCCCCGTACTCCACGCTCCTCGAATGACCCGCGGGCGCGCCCGCCCTAGGGTGCTTCATACGGCGTTGCAGTGATCGGACAGGTCTCCCAGAGTGGGAGGCAATGCCGTCTTTGTGGATCAGAAGGCAATGGAACGCCAGTTGGGCTTGCAGGAGATGCCTGGTACACATCTGGGACCTTGCCCCCAGTGTACTCGACAAGGTGCTGGATCTATGCTCGAATGAGGTATGCCCCCCCATGCCCATCAAGAGGCCCGCGAGTAGCGAGGGCGCCGAGGAATGGGACATCAACGACATGTCAGCCCACCTCTCCCCTGTCCGCCCAACGCCGGACATTGGTCCCAACCCGCCAACGGCAACACCAGACAGCCTTCCTGGGCGCGCCTCGCGTTCAGAAGGGGACCCCGACGGCGGAGCTACTCACTGGCGCGCCCTCCCGGCACTCCCGCCGCCCAACGGACCCCAGCTACCCGCTTACTCCACCCTCCGCCTTGGTGTGGAACAGTCGTGCGGCCCTGTCCGCGAACTTGTGCAGTTTCTGTTTGAATGGAACCACTAGGTTCACATCCACTGGGCGGCCTTCGCGCAGAAGGTGGGCGGGGACAGATCGGGTGAAGATAACGATGAGTCGGGATGGTCACACGAGCACCTGGCGCGCTTCCTGGGCACCCTCTACGAGGAAGAGATCCCCAGGAACGGACATCCCCCTCTCATCCCCTGGGACGGGCAGAGGGCCGCTGCGGCCAATGCCATCACGTAGCTGGTTGGGAGGAATCAGAAGTACCAGGGGGCCTGGCGCTCCTTCTCCGACACGCTCAGCAACCAAAAGGGGCAATGCCCCCAGCGCCAACCTTTGGATACGTTGAACCGCTTCTTATCCCAAATGAAGGGCGACCTCGCAGAAGGCACGTTAGAGGTTCTCGCCAGCGAGCGCAATGTCGGGAGGACCAGCAGCGGAATGGGAGACGATCCCCCCGCCGCCGTCTGGCGCAGCGAGCCCCCAACAGCCTCAGCTGGCCGCGCCCCCGACGATGACCCCAGCCAGCACCCCCCTGCAGCTACACAGGCAGGCAGCGAGATAAAGGAAGAGCCATCCCCGCACAGGGGCGGTTGCGGCAGCGGCGAAGTCGAGGTCGATTGGGATGAGGACAACCCACAAGACAGGACCGTCTCCATGGTCGACAGTCCCCGCAGCAGACCGAGGAGACCGAGATCCCCGACCCCAGCGACAACGACGCTCCCCCCAGTCGGACAGTGCTGTGGACACACACCCCACCAAAGGACGAGTCGGCAACCTGGACGACTTTCGCTACGGCCCGCTCCCGGTCGATCATGGAAGAGATCCGTGACGGCAGAGACCTAAGAGGAGCGGGGAGCAAGTCAGACCGCCGTCAGCAGTCCATTCCTGAGCACGCCGCGTCTGAGCGCGAGACCCGTTCGCCACCCAGCCCACCTCGGCAGAATCACAGCCCGGACAGACGGCCCGGCCTACAGGCAGCCCCACTCCCACCTCCGCGCCGAGACGACCCCTTGGGCGGGCTTCCCATGTACATGAAGCCCATCTACGAGGCAGACACTGAGGGAGACGAGCCAGCCCCAGACAAGATCATCAGGCTGCAGAAGTTGCTGGGTTGCGCATTCAACGGGGTTTGGACTGCATGGGTCCGTAAGGCAGGCAGCAGGCAAGGTCATCCGTGGGTCCGCATCCACTCTGACCCCAAGAAGAATACAGTACAGCTTTGCGAGAAATTTCTCCTGGCATGGGAAAAAGCAGGCTATGATGCCTACAAGTTGGAAAGTGTTCACCAGCTCTGGGTGGAGTGGCCAACAGTCATGGAGAAGCATCGGAACCTGCTACAACGCGACACAAGGACGCGTAACCTCAAGGGACGCGATAGCGACGGCCGCCCGTATCCTTGGGCTGCCAACAGCAGGGCCGCGCCTACTCCCCCGACACCACCCGGCAGGGCCAGCGACTCCACACACGCACCCCCCTCAGGCGAACCCAGTGGAGTTGACCAGCGGCACCCGTGGAGCAAGCCTAGGGCAGACACAGCCGCCCCGCCGGTGTATACCGACTACAGGGTCGCCGCGCGGTCGGGAGCATCCAGCTCCGCCGCCCCGCGGCACCCACGGCCGCCCTGGGAGGGGCGGGGCCGCCAGGAGCTCATGGAGTGGCGCAGACTGGGGCGCCGGGGACAAGAGGGCCGCCCCGAGAGGCGACGTACAATACGCCGACAAGCGACAGCGAGGGAGGGAGTTCGACCGCTGGCGACGCTGGCGACAGGCTTGACAAGAAGTCGCTGCTCCAAAGCAGGGATGGCGCGGCCTGGAACCCCCGAGGTCACACGGCCTGGAGCCGCCTTGGCACAGGGGCGTTATCTTCATAAGTGACAGGCAGCAGCCGTGCACATTGGCCACCCCATGGGAGTGAGGTGTACCACTCATCCGATGGCTTCCCCACAGTTTTCAAACGCCCAGCGGCCATCGGCTCCTCTCCTCCTCCCCCTCCGGGCGCACTGGGAGTGAGGCATTCTGCTCCCGTTTGCACCGCTCCCCCCTTTATTCAAATGTCCAGCGGCTATCGGCTGCTCTCCTCCTCTCCCTCGTCGCCCCAACGACTTGGTGACTGGCCGACGGCAGGTGGCAGTCACAGGTCCTGCCCCGCGCAGGCTGGGGTCGCCAACTTGGGCTGGCCTCGGGGACAATGGAGCCCCCCTGGGCTGCAACTGCTCCTGGCAGCCCCCCCGGTGCAGGGGAACCGTTTCACCGCAGTGGCAGGCCGCGGCCTTGGTTTCCGTGCTACCTCCTGGGAGTGAGGTGCACCCCCGCACTGCGCTAGACCCCCACGTCACTCCGTGGGCTATTAGCCCGTGCGGTCGGCCGAGATAACCCCACCCACGGTTCTTGGCCGCGTTCCACGCTGGCCCGCGGAGGGCCCGGGCGATCGGCTGAAGGCCCCGCCCCTTCCACCCCCCGCCCGCAGTGGCTGGCCATGGCCACAGTTCTTGCGCCACCTCATGGGTTCGAGGGGCACCCCCACACTGCGCGTAGATACCCGCGGCGCCCCGTGGGCTCCCCGCCTGCGCGGTCGGCTGAAATGACCCCACCCACGGCTCTTTGGCCGCGCTGATTGCAGGCCCGTGGAGTCTGAGGTTGAGGTGACTGGCTGAAGGCCACCCCCCTCGCGCTTCACCTTTTGAAGTCCGACGGCGTGCCCGCGTGGCTTTCCCCCTTCGACGGCGCCACGCGCCACGTCCACCACCCCAGGTGACGGGTCCTCTGGTGGCTGCTTCAGGCTCCTTCCAGAGGTGCAGTGGCTTCGGCACTCGAAGTTTGGCGTCGGGGGCGCGGTGCTCGCATCGTTTTCCCCATCTCCGGCGCCACTCCCCGGCAGTGGCACACGGCGCATGTTGGGTCCTCGTGCTGGGTTCGCTCGGGCCCTTCGCTTTATTCAAATGCTAGCGGCTATCGGCTGCGCTCCTCCCGTCCTCCTGGCGCTCTGGGCACGACGGTGGCGTCCCATCGATATGTGGCGCTCACAGGACTCGCAAGTCTCCAAGCTGCTCCCTGGCAGGCCACAGGTGAAGGGGCTGAGCCTGCACGGGCTTCCCCCATGGGCCGCAGTGGTCAGGGGCAGTCCTCATCGCGGACGGTTTTACCGCAGTGTCAGGCCTTGGCCTTAGTCCACGTGCGTCCTCCTGGGAGTGAGGTGCACTTACACTGCGTTCTCCCACGGTATCGGTATCCGTGGGCTCTGCCTGTGGGGTACGGCTGCAATAACCCTCCCCGCTGCTTTGGGCTTCCATGCTTGCAGGCCAGTTCGCTCACGTTGTATGGCTACGGGCCGCGGCTCCCGCTCACCACAGTGGTGCCGACAAGTGACAGTCGCCCATCACCGTGCCAGGGGCATGACAGACGCCTGTAGGCGTGATGGGCCAGGGTTGTTACTGTGGCTGGTGGCGCCTCGTTTCCGTATTCCACGTTTCGAGGCCGTTGTTGCGCCGCGAAGCCGGTACGTCTCAGTGGGCGAGTCAACATCGCAATTTGGCTGCACTGGGTCATCTCCTGGAGCGAGGACCCATAGTAGCGGGCCACGGCGCGCCATTTTGGCACGAGCTGTGGCAGCATGTTCGGGACCTGCAGCAGGGCACGCTCTTCAGTCGGAGTACCTAATAGTGGTTCATACCGTGCGTGTCGGTTGTTCGCCCCTAGCACGTGCCATCTCTTGTCGAGGGAGTTCTTCAGATGTGCTCTGGCGGTCCTCGATGAGCACCGTGTGCTCCGTGAGTGAGGGCTTCTTCTGGCTGTCTCTTCGCCACGTGCTCCGTTCTCTCTGTCTGTACGCGTCTCCCCTGCTGCCTACAGCTGCACCGGCCGTTGCGGCTGCACGGGTACAGGCCCCCTGCGTGCTGTTTGGCTGTTAGTGGTCGCTGCTTGCGGGCGTCGTTTGGGCGGCTCCTCGCTTGCTTGCGCTTCCGTCCGCCCGCCGCTCCCGCCGCCTTCGGCTGGTTTGGCCTCTGCGGCTGCACAGTTGCCGGCTGTGCGTGCTTCGCGGCTGGCTGCTTGTGTCTGTCTCTTCGCGGGTTGGCGCCGTCAGGGCGACTCCTCGCTGGTTTGCGGTTGCCGTGGCCTTAATTGGTCTTTGCATGTGCACTCCGCGCGTCCTCGCGCTAATTATCTTGCGCTGTGCCCCAGCCTTGGTACCGTCGCCCACTGGACTTTTCCTTGCGGGCCGCTAATCAAAAGAAAGTATCTACACCAGTGGATGGCTCTCTGACGCGGAACAGCCACACTTTAGCTCCAGTGAGCCTTGATGAGTCAAGCCTCGTTCGCCGCGCCATCGTTCACCCGTGGTGCTGCAGTGAGTCTGAGTTAGTCGCTCGCGCTCGCACTCTCCCCCCTCTCATTTTCCGAGGTCTAGGCCTGTCACTGGCTGCGCGCAGGTGGGCTTCGCTTGGTCACTGGCCATTCGGATCCGCGCGTGCGGCTTTACAGTACCCCGCCGTCCATATTGGCCTCGTTTCCGAATGTGGTTCGGCTGGAGCTGGGCGCCGCAAGGGCGACTTCTTCCCCCCGTTCCGCTGCCCGTCGCCGCGCCTTTGCTTCCCCACCTGCCGGGATGTCTGGGCCGGTCACCTGCCGACGCTGTCCTGCGTCTCAATGAGGGGCATTTTGCCCCTGGCATGTGCATGCGCCATTGCGGCCAATTTACATCGCACCGCGCCCCGGGCGTTGCGCCCACGCCCTGTCCCTCGCCTTGGAGCCGCGAGCCAAACAAATATATCCACCAGCCTTCGGTTCACACTGCGGCGCCCATGTGCGTTTGCTTGCGAATTTAGTTCATTTTGTTCTGTGCATGTGCAACTGCGCACTTGCTGTGCAGGTGCGAACTGGCTTGCCAACGTGGCGGCCGCGTTCGCAAATTCGCACCGCGCCGCATCCCGGACGCTGCTTCCGCCCCCTGACCGTTGCCTTGGAGCCGCCGACCAAAACAATTATCCCGGCAAAGCAACCTAACAGCGATGTGTAGGAGCATATCTGGAAGCATTCCCCTTCAGATTCAGATGAGAATCCAGTTGTAGAATTCTGCTGTTCTCGCAGTCGTAGTCGCATTCGCGATGACAGTCGCAGTGGCAACGGCAGTCGCAGTCACAGCCTCAGCCTCAGCCTGCCTCAGCCTCAGCCTCAGCCTGCCTCAGCCTCAGCCTCAGCCTCAGCCTGCTTCAGCCTCAGCCTCAGCCTCAGTCTGCCTTCAGCCTCGGCCTCAGCCTCAGGCTGCCTCAGCCTCAGCCTGCATCAGCCTCAGCCTCAGCCTCAGCCTGCCTCAGCATCAGCCTGCCTCAGCCTCAGCCTCAGCCTGCCTCAGCCTCAGCCTCAGCCTGCTTCAGCCTCAGTCTCAGTCTGCCTTCAGCCTCGGCCTCAGCCTCAGCCTGCCTCAGCCTCAGCCTGCCTCAGCCTCAGCATCAGCCTGCCTCAGCATTCAAAATGTGGCCCGGGAATGGAGTTCTGGGAACTCGAAGAACACGAAGTGGCCTACAGTTGGCTCCGGGCATTCAAAATCATACCCAGGAATGGAGTTCTGGGAACTGGAAGAGCACGAAGTGGCCTACAGTTGGCTCCGGGCATCCAAAATGTGGCCCGGGAATGGAGTTCTGGGAACTCGAAGACCACGAAGTGGCCTACAGTTGGCTCCGGGCATCCAAAATGTGGCCCGGGAATGGAGTTCTGGGAAGTCGAAGACCACGAAGTGGCCTACAGTTGGCTCCGGGCATTCAAAATGTGGCCCGGGAATGGAGTTCTGGGAGCGCCAAGAGCGATTTTGCGAGGATGTCCAAAGCGATTTCGGCTTCGGCGGCAGCCGCCCCGGGTCCCGCCCCGACCCCCCTGAGGAGTCATGATGCTTTCTTTTGACACCACTAGAAACCTATCAGTCTTCGCTGTTAGGTAATACCCCAGCAAAGCAACGTAACAGCCATGTGTATGAGCATATATGGAAGCGTTCTTCTTTAGATTAATGTCGGATTTGACTGGAAGCGAAACGCTGCGATCAATAGTGGACGTGTCTGCAAAGGAGGCACTACTATCAACGAGACAGCACATTCTTGTTGTTGTCATTCCAAACGAGACGCTGCTATGCAGGGGTGTATGTGCAAACGAGACGCTGCTATCAATGGCTTCCGCCCCAAACGAGACACGAGCATCAATGGATTTAATTTCGAACGAGACACTACTACTTACTACTACGGATGCGTCTGGAAGCGAGACGCTGCTATCAATAGTGGATTTCTCTGCAAAGGAGGCACTGCTATCAACGAGACAGCACATTGTTTTTGTGTTCATTCCAAACGAGACGCTGCTATCAATGGATTTAAGTCCAAACGAGACACTGCTATCAATGGATTCAGCCTCAAACGAAACGTGCCGAGGAGCACCGTATCTCACTATCCACGGCTGCACACGAGTGCAGGTTGAGAAGCGCCACACGAATGCAGGCTGAGACGAACCACGCGAACGCAGACGGCCAGGCTGAACAGCCCCGGCACAAAGCAGGCTGCACCTCAGGGCTCCTCAAGCTCGCGCAGGCCAGCCCAGCGCCTGTCGGGCCTTCGCGCAGGCGATTTTTGTCGTGGCAATCTTGTCTGCGAAGAATTCGTCGAAGGCCTTCGCGGTCTGTTCTGGGGGGCCTGACTCGATGATGCTCCGGTCAGGCAAGCCGTGGCTCAAGAGCTGGCCGATGCTCCGGGGCCGCGACAGGTTGACGTATTAGGCCAGCCAAATGGACTCTTTCTTGAATCCTGGCGGAAACGCCCAGTGCACGATGAAGCCTGGGTCCGCCGTCTTGCCCTGCACGCCATGCAGAGTGCCCTGCTTCTTGGGCAGCGCGGTCAACTGTGTCCTGGAGACCGCGATGGCCGGGCCATCCGCCGTTGCTTTGAACTTCCAGGGACGGGCCTGCGGGGTAATCGCGAGCGCTCTACGCAGGTCAGGGCCGGCAGGCTGAGAAGCACTGCCAGCAGTCACCGGCGCGGCCTTCAAGAAGAGCTCATCGCTGTCATCCATCTTGACATAGACGGCCTTGGGCATGTAGCGGAGTACCGCAACACCATCCGAGACAACGGACGCGCGACCCTCCACCGGAGGCTCCAGAGCGCGCTGCTCTATGCCTACCACCTTGCCCGGCGTGCCGCGGACATACTTAGGTGGCAAGACGGACTCCGTCAGGATGACCTCCATGCCGAGGAAGAGCGGCAGCAGCCCCGGCATTTTTCCAGTAGCGCCGATGTTGGGCTCCGCGCGCATCTTGTCGAAGTCAGGCTTCGCGAGGCGCGCAGCTGGTCTGTCGACTGCCGGCACGTAGAAGAGCAGCTGGCCAGCATCGTGCGCATCAAGCTTGGCCTGCGCATGCATGGCGTAAGAGACGATGCGCCACTCATATGCCGACTCGTACCAGCCTCAGGCTGCACGCAACCGGTGGTCCCACTGGGGTTGCTGAGCGGCTTCGTTGGTGCTGGCAGCAGGCTGACCAGCACCGCTGGAGCTAACGATCTCTGTTTTGAGGATCGCCTGCCAGCTCTCGTCAGAGATCTTTTTGCCGCCTGGAGTCCTCATGGCGTGAAGGACCTCGACCTGCAGCGGGTCTGTGAATCGCTGCATCTGCACGAAGTCGACGACGAACTCGAAGTCGGCGGGCAACTTCCGAGCCTGTTGGTGCTCGTAGGACTGGCCCGCGCGAGGCGCCAGCAGGGAGGCGCTGGCGGGGGCCGGCGGTAACTGGTAGAAGTCCCCGCAGGGGATCTTCGCCGGCATGCGCCCCCACGTCTCCTGCGGGAGCATGTACTTGGTAGAATCGAGGTTGTAGCGCAGCGCCCTGCCGTAGGTCGCGCGCAGTGCATCCGCATGCAGCAAGGGCCCCGGCACAGCACCCAGCTCATCGATCACGTCGACGCCGAGTGTGCCTGTGAGGCGGTCGAGCTTTTTCTGCGTCTGCGAGGTCAAGCGCAGCCTGGCGGTCTGCAGGGAGTCCGACATGAGGATGCCGTTGGAGGAGTGCAGCGCCCTCCCGCGCGGGCCGAGGTTGTGGGCCGCGTGGTTGGACTGTGCTTTGGCGAGGTAGCCGTGCTCGCCGAAGTAGAAGATGGCCGTAGGCTCCACCACTCTGGAGAGGGTGCGTGTCTTGCCGACGCCGCCTCCTCCGAGCCAGATTGCTCTGTGGTTGCCCGTCGCGGACACCACGGGGAGCAGATGCGTTGTCTTGTCTGGCCTGCCGTCAAAACGTTTCTGCAGGGACAGCGCGAACAACGCCGCCGCGTCAATCTGCTCCTCCGTGCACACTGCATCAGTGACCAGCTTCCACGCAACAGCCGCCGGGCCCTGCATGGCCAAGAGCTGCGGCACGAGCTCCGGCTGCGCGTCCTCAGCAGCAGGCTGAGGAGCACCACTGGGTTGCCAGTCGCCCCCAACATCGGAGCACCAGCTGAGCCAGGCTGATGAGCACCAGCTGAATCTCCGTCCGCAGGCTCCGCGGACTTCCTCTTCTTGAAGAGCAAAGTGCTCAAGTGGTGGAGGAGTTTTGGGGCGTGCTGCGCGTCGTACCTTTGATCCCAATGCTGTCGCATCTCATTGTGCATGTCGCGCGCGCGCTGGGTGACCTCGTCGTAGGTCCGGGTAGCGGGTTCTGACGCACAAGACGCCGACACGTCGGAGTCGGAAAAGTCCCCGAAGACAATTATCCGTTTCTTGTTCTCCGCAGGCTGAGAAGCACCGCGGAGGGTGATGATGACCGCGACAGCATCGCGCGAGTCGTTGCGCATGCCACGGTCCAGGTACGACGCGCCAACAGCGACGGGCCGGAAACGCGCGACGGCTCCACAGACCGCCACATTGTCGCTTGTCGCCGATACGGTCCGCCGGTGAGGCGAAGACCTCCCACAATGCCTCGTCGTCACTGTGGCGCTGCAAAGCTTCACGCGCCTGCTGGGAGTTCAGGTTGTTGTCGCCGACCATGATGCGCACGACTGGCGTGTCTAGCTCTGGTGCCTCGA